CACCTAGGGGACACCTCAGGATCTTTTCCTTAAACCCTTCTTGTTAGTTCCCTCCAGCAAGAGAATTTAGTTGCCTGAAACCTAATGTACTAATGAAACTAATGAATGGCATTGTAGCTGAGACCTTCTGCCAACGAGACTCAGAAAGACAGGCAACCATCAAGGTCAAGTTGGAGGCTACACAGCACCCACAGACTGCATCGTTAAGGAGTCTTTTATTCATATCAATCTGATTTCACACCTCATTCCTCCCAATTAAGCTTTACTTCTTCAAACACTGTTTTAAAATGTAACTGCTACGGGAAGGGAAAAAGCCATTCATGTATTAATAAGTGGCACTGAAGTTTAGATTCTTGCACTATGTTTGGCTGGGAGTGGCTGCAGAGGATTCTGAGGCCACCTGTGGGTCAGGGAAGGTCTGGAGACGGGGTTCAGCAGACTGGGTTCTTATCCCAGTTTTGCACATGTTCCTAGGCAGTCTGCTCCCACTCTGAGCTCAGTATGTCCATCTGGAAAATGGGAAGGTAGGCTGAGCCCAGAAGTAAAAAATCCAGGGCTCAATGGAATTCATCATAAGCTCTGTTTTTCTACAGTAACTTCCACCTCCACTTGGTGACCAGGGTTCCTGGTATTTGTGACAGTTCCCACCCATCCAGCAGAGATGGCCCATTGTGAACAATGAAAAAAAGAAAAAGAAAGGAAGGAAGCAGCCAGAGGAATTTAGTCTTCAGAGCAAAGAAACAAAGACAGACCAGCCAGAGACCTCAGGGTCAGCATCTTGTGTCCCAGAGGGAACCAAGAGCCTGGGCACCGGAACCACTGTTCCTCATCACAGAAAGACCAGTGAGCCCCTGTGACAGATCTACAAAAACTAGAAGGCATTTTAGAGGAGGCAAAGGATATTGACAAAAACCACTTCCCTATGAGATCCTAGTGTACATGGCAGAGAAAAGGGGGTGGTGTCAAGGTAACAGGATCCCCAGCCATAGGACTTACTTCCAGTTATAGAAGAGATGCTAAGTGGCCAGTGTCTTCAAGGGGCAGGCCTATGATCTAATTCTGTTTTCTGGCATGAAAATCAGAATCCTGCAGACAGAAGTACCCACTGCATCCTGTCCGCAAACAGCTAGGAAGGAGGCAGTCTCTGAAGTTCAGTGTATGTACACAGTCATGAAGTAGAATGAGAGGAGACCAGGGCCCCACCTCTATTAGAGCACACATTTTAAAATATGTACTCATCCCACACCAAATGTAAATATAAGCATTTCCAATACAATATGTTTTCCTAAAAATCTTCACATTCTGCAAAACCACAATGTAAAAAAAAAAAAAATCACAGAATTCATGGGCAAAGCAGAGTTTGCACACCCTGCTTGACACCTATGAAACCTGTTACCGAACCTTCCCCCAGACAGTTACTGCCCTCAGAGAAGGAGGGCCTCAGGGCCTCCGCCACTTAGGTGAACATTCTCATTCGCATTAAAAACCTACCCAGCTTCAAAGTTAAGAAGACTGATGGATTATGGGGGAGGGGGAGTCACTGTGTTCAGTTGTGTACCGAACGATGAGTGCATCTGCCTCCAAAGAACAGTTCCAAACCTGTGGCCACACAGACGGTCCTGACTAAAATCAGTGGGTCACACTGGTAGGTCAACCACCCTCCAGGTGATGGCTCGACACCCAGGAGTATATGGACAGCACAAATTAGACCTAATGAAATATATACATATAGACACAGAATTGGGGAGGTGGGCTGTATCTGGGAGGAATTAGGGGGAAGAGGAGGAGATGAATATGATCAAAATTTATTGTAGTAAATTCTCAAAGAATTAATAAAATATTATTTTTTAAAACTTAATGGGTCACAAAACAAAGCAACATGGATGGGGGAAAGGACCTGTGGGAGTAGGGGAGGGGCAATGGTGTGAGAGGGAGGAAGATGAGAGAGGGTTGGGGATGACAGTAGTCAGAACGTACTGTATACATCTATGAAATTGCCAAAGAACACATTTCATCCAAAGTTTAGAAATAATCATTTAAACCCACCCAGGGCACCACCTGCACCTGCTATTTTCTCAAGAGGACAGTGTCTTAGCATCTCGTCCATATGCCTTGTACCGTTCTCCATAGAGCTTGAAGGCCCGGAATGATGGTAAAACAGTCATGACTTGCATCAAAGTCAGGTGCACCAGTGAATATTTTCAGCTTTTGCTTATGAGTTCTTCGTGTTACTCTTTATTCACAAGGAAGTTCATTCTGACCCATCAAAACACAAACATACTGGGGAAAATTGTAAATGAGCCAACACGACTTTCCCATATACCAATACCATTGCCTCCATCTGTTATAGAAACACAGTAGCACAACAGACACTTCTAAGTATTAGATGATGCACTCCCAGAAGGTCTAGGGAAGTGAGAGGCTTTTGCTTACAGGTTAATTCAACATACAATTGTGTTAAAGTTTGGATTGTCCGTATTTTAATCCAGATGACTTTGTTAGGCAAAAATAGTCACAAATTCTTTGTAGCATCTCCCCTTTCTTAAGGACAGTTAACAACCTCCACTGTCACTCCTTGATCTGGCCTGGTTTTGTAACTTGCACTGGACATCAGAAATGTAGTAGAGACTATTTTACACTTCTTAGAAAGTCCTGGAGAGGCTTGTAGGCCCCCTCTCATCTTCTCAATGCCCTGTGACTGTCAGAAGCCTAAACTGACCTCCTAGAACTGAAAAGCCTGGCTCACAGTCAGCATCACCCCCACGCTGTGAACGAGGCCCTCTCTCACTGTCCAGTGCAGTACAGCCATGAGTGACATAGGCAAGATGGCCCAAGAGACACCTGCCCACAAAATCACAAACAAAAAACTGCTGCTTTAACCCATTAAGGATTGGGACGGTTCCTCACATAGCCCAAGTAACATGATGGACCATTTTTGTAGGCATTTTACTACTTCTTCAATAGTTTGATGGTTTTCTCTGTTTGGGAACCTATAGATTTTCACTCAGGTCTCAGTGAAGCCACAGGCCTCTGAGAAGGGGCTGACCTGGCTCTGAAAATGTCAGTGCCTTTAAGGAGTCTAAAGTCAAGGGTAAGACACCAAGGAGGACTGTCCCTAACTCTCAGATAGTTCCTGTGGGAAAGAGACGACCTTGTAACACTCCCAAATCCAGGCAGGCCTCAGTCTTTCTGATTAAGGTAGATGCAGTAAAAGTGCACCATGTGCCCTAATTCCTGGAGCCCACGAATGTGTGACTTTCTGTGACCAAATGAATTCCCCTCCCCCCCAGTGGATGGGAAATTTCTTCTTCTTCTTTTTTTTTAACTTTTACAAAAACTTTATTGAGAATTTCATACATGTATATAAGGTGTTTTGATCAAATCTGTGCCCACTCCCTCCCCTCCAACATTCCCCCCTCTGAAGGGGTAATCCTAAAATCTTCTAAGGATTAGATACAAGCTCCCAAATACTTTAGACATTTTGGGCTTTTGGAACAGAGTATGTTGCTAACAGGCCCAAGGACATTTTGACTTTTAGCCAAGAAACTGGCTACATTTCTTTGGGGGTCTTTTTACCCTAACTGCCTAGCCAATTCCTACCTCTTGTTCTTATCACACCATCCTCTGAAGGGGTTACCCAAATTGCCAATAGGGAATAGGGACACAGACCGCTCTGGCTTCTTCCATGCTGAACAGGGACGCAGGGTGAGGCAATTGGAGGACCCCTTCTGTGGGTCTAGCTAAAAGACTCCCAAATTGCATAACTCGTCTCTAAGGGGAAAAGAAAATCCTTGAATCATGAATAGGAGAAGTAAAGGCAAGAGTAATTAGTATAATAAGTTCTAGACAGGGAACTAGAAAAAAGTCAGAACAGGGAAATTTTCAAATGTTCATATGAGAGTCCATTGGAGACCAAAGGAATTTTGAGGTGACTAGATTCAGGATTTTGAGATGGGGAAATGATTCCTGATGATCCACATGGGTCAAAGTCCTTACAAGGGGGAGGGGCAGAGACTAGAGTGTAGACAGGACAGAGGTGGGAGCTGAGCAATGGGTTCTGAAGATGGGAGGACCAGCTTTGAGCCAAGGTGCGCGTATGACCTCCAGAGGAGCGAAATGGTAGGAGACAAATGATAAGGCTCCAGAAGACACACAGCACAGCAAGACCCATCTTAGGGCTCAGTTCTGATTTCCAGGAATGAAAGATAATAAATTTGAGTTGTTGGGCTAGGGCTATAACTCGGCTAGTAGAGTGCTTGTCTAACATGTATGAGCCCTGGCTTCAATTCCCAGCATCACATAAACTAAGCATGGTAACACACACTTACAATCCCAGCATTCGGGAAGTTGGAAACAGGAGGATCAGGAGTTTAAAGTCAACCTGAACTACATAGTGAGTTTAAAACCAGCCTAGGCTATAGGGTTGTTGTAGGCCACTACATTTGTGGTCATTTTTATGATACCTTAGTATCCTCCTGCCTACAAGAATACAACGTTGGATATTTATTCATAATAACACTAATAGCCAATAATGTAACCGTCAACAGGAATTCACTGTCTACGTCATGACCTTGTTCTAGACACTTTTCTTGAATAAACTCATTTAATGTCCACAAACACCTATGAAGACACTATTATAAATCCACATTTCATCAATGAAAACAATAAGACTTTAAGATGCTAAGTAACTTACCAGAGTTGCAAAGCAGGCAAATGATTTGAACCCAGCCATCCAGGTCCCAGATCTAGCCACTCTACCCTCCCAGTCACCCTAACCATCTCAATAATAAAGTCCCTGCTACTTACTGTGTGACCTTTCTATAGCAGGCTCATGCCAAGCCCTTTAGAAATACCTTCTCAATTCCCCCACACCCCAATGGAGCAAGGATCATGAATCATTCTTGTTTACAACAGAAGAAAATGAGGCCCAGCAATATGAACCCAGAGGTCAAACACATCTGAACCCACAAGTATGGGTTTAAGCCAACTATCCTGCCTACCTTGTGCCACCCAAGCCCAGCTGGTCGAGAAGAGGATACAGATGAAGAACACGTAATTCATCTTCCAAACAGAGACACTTAGAAAGAGAAAGGAGTCACTCTTAGTAATTTCACTGATACACAGGGAGCCGCTAGAACTATGTCAGCAGTGCAGAACACGTGAACATGCTAGAGATAAGAGCAGTAGAGCTGAGGCCCAACCTGTGAACAGCTCAGGGTTTCCCAGAATGGGTGGCCTGGAGCAGCCGCTATCCCATGGGACTTCCTCAGCTGCCAGGTCACAGTCAAGGCTGATAGAGGAGGCAGGTCTGCATGAGGTCTGGGGCTCAGCATTGTGGGTGGAGCCTGCCTAGGATGGAGCAGGAGTTCATCTGAGGTCAGAGGCTAGGCAGTGTTGGATAGAGTCCAGGGATGCAAAGACCTTGAACCCTACAAGCTACCCTATTTAGAAGAGCCACTAAGGAGCTCAGAGCTATGGCAAAGGGCCAAGCGAGAGTCAAATGAGGCAAGCAGCCCAAGATGCTGAGCTGTCCTCCAAGGCTCTGGACCCACTGGACAAGACTCTACATAGATCCTCAGCCTAGTTGTGGGGTCTCAGGCTAGCCCTTTTCTCCTCCGACCCTCCTAGACAAAATACACCTGCTGATAACTGCCACCACAGAATTCAGGATAATAAATAATAATAGCATGGACCATATGCCAGGAAGTATACTCAGCACTTAAGAGGGTTACTGGAGAGAATAAAATCCAGTCTGAGATGTATAGATTGAGTATTTTCATTTTAGAGGTGGGGGGTAAGGGAATAGGTAAGTTACTTAGCCCAAATTCTCAAAGCTAGTAAGGGCTAAAAGTAGCTTTAGAATCTACGTTCACTTAAAATCTTGTTGGAACATTCTTCTTCCCTCCCCAGGCTCTACAGAGCAGGTTACCCCAGAGGGTCACCAGTAAGGGCCTCAGCCTCTTGGTAGACAGAGAACTGGTGGTACAGGGGCCAGGCAGTCACACTTCACACCAGTTCCACCAGATTTTAAGACTCAGTACTGAGTCTTACAAATACATGTTCCAGGCCTCATTTCCTGGAGCGTCAGTTGCAATAAGCCAGGAATAGGAATTATACCAACATCACTACCAACACTCCATCCATCTAAGAGAATGTCTCCACCTGGTGTTGTGCCCTAACTCCCTCTAGAACTCTCCAGACTCCTTCTGGACTACAGCATAGCCTAAACACAAAGCCATCTGTGGCCAATGTAATCTACTCAAAGAGCAGTTATCTGTTTTAGGTACCCATGTTTTATGCCGTGGGTACCTTCTGTTTACAGCAAGGAACACAAGTTTTATAGTCTTTCTAAAATAAATGCATATTTTAAATGGTAGATTTTTTTAAAGACACTATAAATCACTGTGCGGGGAGAGGGGTTGTGCACATATCTACCCACTGGAATCATAACCCTGATGTGGCTGCAACATTCTGAGGATGTGACATGCCTGTCTTCTATTTTCATATCACCCCTAAAAGTCACGTCACCTAGGAACTAACTTAACTCCCTCCTCTGAGCCTCAGGATCTCCTAATGCAGAATCACCCACCTTAGTGGACATCAGTGAGTATTAAATAAGGTGATACAAGAGCCAGGCACAATGGTACGCACCTGTAGCCCCAACTCCTCAGGAAGTAGAGGCAGGAGGACCACTCCTCAAGCCCAGGAATTCATGGCCAGTCTGAAGAAGAAGATGACACAGAAGCATTGGCATAGAGCTGGTACTTACGAAAGATTTGCTGACTCAGACAGCACAGGGCCTTGAGTGGCTTGTCTGCTGCTGCTCTGCCCCCACCCCTCAAGCCCAGGAATTCATGGCCAGTCTGAAGAAGAAGATGACACAGAAGCATTGGCATAGAGCTGGTACTTACGAAAGATTTGCTGACTCAGACAGCACAGGGCCTTGAGTGGCTTGTCTGCTGCTGCTCCCTGCCCCCACCCTAGATGTCTTGGTCCCTTATGGCTTGAATATGAAATGTCCTTCACAGGCTCTTGTCGGGAGGGGAGAGAAGAGGCTTGGTTGCTAGCTGAATGACTTTGGGGAAGTAATTGGATTCTGAGGGCTCTGGCCTAAGCAATGGATTAATCCCTTAATGGATTCAAATTTGAATAAACTATTGGAAAGTGGTGGGTGGTGAGGGCTGGTTGGAAGAAGAAGGCATTTGAAGGTCATCTTGCCCTCCCTTTCCCTTTCCCATCTTCCTCTCTCTCTTTCTCTCTTTCTGTATGTTTCCGGCTGACCTCGATGAGGTGAGCTGCTTTACTCTGTTACATGCTCTTTGCTGCAAAGTTCTCTAATCACAGGCTATGAGCCAAAACTACAGAATGAAACGTCTGAGACCATGAGCCAACATAAATAACTCCGCCCTTTAAATAGATTTTGTCAGGTTCTTGTCACGGCAATGGAAAATATGACTAACACAGGATTCAAGTCTAACAACCGATCTGTGGGACTTCCTGGTTGGCAAAAGTAACTGGAAGAGGTTTGGATATAACAGATCTGGGACAGAGTCGGGCATCATCTCCAGGAGGCTCCAACAGAACCACGTAGGTAACTAACTAATCTGAGGGGCATTCTGTGGCCACAGGGAGTGCCTCCTGTTCCCCATCCCCAGGGTAACCCTGTAGCTGCCATTACCCCCACCTCCAGTGCAGAATGTATAAAAGTGGGAGGAGCCCATGGGAATACTTATGCCACTGCCAAGGGGCTGGCTTCCGGGTGTACAAAATTGTACACCTGGTTCCTTTAGCACCAAGTCAGAAAAATGAGAATAGAATCTACTGTTCTCCTCAAGCCCCGAAGTAAGGTAGATTAGCTTGACCCACCACCATAACACAGAAAGAAACTGCAATCCTGGTAGACACAGGAAGACTGCAAAGAACTCACTCAGTAAGTGACAAAACCATTTCCTGCCCATCCCTTATCTCCAGCTGTTTCCAACAGAGTCAAGCAGGCATCACCCATTTCAGTCACAGACCTAGGAAGCAAAGTCCAGCTGATGTCATTGTGCTCCAAGGCACTTTGGTTCCCCAAACTACCATTCCTGTGACTGCACATTTGGGGGAAGAGCAGGCATCATGCGCAAGTCCAGGGATGCAGTAAGGGTCCACAGGGCTTCCGTCTGTGGGCCAGAGTCCCTGCTGAACAGTATGTTTCTCCCCTAGGAGTCTCCTCTGTTTGCCTGCTCTCTCTGGAGAATACCCAGGCCCATCATACCCATGTGGGAAGGAGTTCTCTCTGCCACATGCAGCTTATTCATTAAAAGCTTCTGATTCCTCCCTGCCATCTAATTATGCACAGTGGTCATAAAGAAGCTTTCTCCCTTACCAAAGAGGCCTATTTATATGACAAGAGAGCACTTCGCCCCCACAAGATTGAGTCGTCACTCAAAGCCTTGTTGGAATCAAAGCCCCATCTCTTCAGAGATGCCTGGAGTCCTGCCCGTCTCCTTCATCCAGCTTGGCCCACTTCTGAGCATCTGTGTTTTCAAAAGTGCCACCCTGGAGTGGGCAGGATGTGGATGCCATTCCCCACTGCTGTGATCCCTCACATCTTGCTGACAAGTCACTCAAACATAGGCAAGTATCCACTGAACACCTACTGTGTGTCATTACTAAGAATCAAAAAATGAAAAATAAGCCACCTGCCCTTGTTGGGAGAAATAACACTGAAAGAGGTAAAGTTTTGTGACTGATTCCTAGCCTGACTCCAGCATCCACTGTGTGGGCAAGCTACCAAGCTTCTCCAAGCCCTCAACTGCCTCACTGGCAAAATGAGGTTAAAAACAAAACCCACCTCAGAAAGTTGTTGGAGGACAAACAGGATACAGACATAAAAAGTTGGTGCTCTGGGGGCACTCAGGATGTGCTAGCTCTTAAGGACCAGAGGATTATACAGGTGGATTTCACCCATATGCATTGAGTCCAGGAAGAAGTGCATTTTAAGGATGAGGAGGAGTTTGCTAGGCCTAGAGAGATGCCTCACAAGGGAGAATTGCACGTGTCGAGTGCCCCTGGGGATCACAGGGCTCTGAAAAACACAGACACTTGGAGGGTAGAGGCCACTATGTGGGAGACAGATCTTCAGAAGTAGGTGTTGACGGAAGTTGAACCATGGCCAGAACCCTCAGCTATGGTATCAAGAGCATCTCCTTGACCTTTTTCTTGGTTCATTTGACTGCTACAACCTAGAAGGAGGGAGATAGCTTCTATTAATCCTATGCTTATTCACTCAGGCACTCAACACAGGGTCCTGAGGGGCTAGGACATGCCAGGCATGGTCCCAAGTGCAGTGGCCTAGGCCCTAAGCCTTACCCAATCCCTTTACCACAGGATACCATGATGCCCTGCTGTGGCAGAATGTGGAATAGTGACCACAAGGTCCCTTCATTGAATCATCCAACAAGTGTGGCCTGAGCTAAATGAGATAACTCAGTATTTTCCCTAAGTCCTTGATAAATGTCAGTGCTTATTTTTATTAAGATTAACTAGCAGAATGGTAAAAAGCCCATCGCCAAAGCCCAAGGCACTGTCTCTAGATGCATCTTAACCTGAGCAAAACTGCATGCCCACAGCTCCTCTCCTCCACGCACTCCAGAAGAAAATGCTGTGACTCCCACTGTCCATGCCAGCCCTAACTTGGACACCAAAAGACCTGCCCCCAACTGAACCACCCTGCACCCCACCTATGTATCTCCTTCTAGGGTTCCAGACACAACATTCTACCTTTTTGCTTCATTTATAACTCCATCCACCCCACCCACAGGCCCTTCTTACCATGAGGTACCAACAGTGTACAAATCCCAACAAAGTCCGGTGCCCGTGGCATTCACCCATTCATTTGCCTCAAGAACATCCTTGAAACAATTCCAGGGATGGAAGGATTTTGACATCACTAATAGTATAATGATCACTGGTGACACATGATGACTGCACAGATGGTGAAGGACCCCAGCCCTGAAATCAGATGGCCTGAGTCCCAGTCAAAGCTTCCTAGATGTGTGACCTTGGAGAGGTCATTTAATTTATGTTTACATTTCCCATTAGTAAAAGAATAATGCATATTCATCACCCAGCACACAGCATGCAATGGTGAACCCTTAGAAGCAGATGGGACTTTGCTACTATGAGACATAATCAGTATCTCCCATTTTGCAGATAAAGGGATGGAAGTTCAGAAAGGTACAGTGAGTTGCCAGGGGTGCCTGCTTTCAGGTGGCTGGGCCCCAGGTCCCTCCACTATGCGCTCTCACTGGCTGACTTGAACTCACTGAAATCTAAGAAGCACTCTAGAACAAACTAAATGAGATAACTCAGTATTTTCCCTAAGTCCTTGATAAAGTAAGTAGTGGCAGGTGGCCCAGCACACAGCATGTGTTTCCCCATCCTGAGTATGAATCTTTCATAGCTCTGTGTGTGTGTGTGTGTGTGTATGTGTGTTAGGGTAGAAGCACTGAATGCAATTTTACAAGACAAATCAGTGCTGGGAAGTGGGTGCACATCCCTGCCTCCCATTCTGATTTGACAAATCTCATAACCAGCCTGGCATTTGATACAACCACCCACTCTTTATCTCAGCATGAGAGACAAGAAACTGGTTCACTAACTCTCAAGCTTTAAGTAATTCTAACGCCTCTCATGATCATCCTAAATGTCTTTTTTTCCAATTAAAAAAAAAGGTGGGAAAAAATAGTCAATCTAATTGTTGAGTGATGTTCAGACAAACACAGCTGCCAGACCATGGCCTGTGTGCACTGACAGGGAAAGGTCAGAAAAGAGAGGCATAGTCAGGGTGCTTGTGCACTGCCTGGACTTGGATTCTGCATAGCCCCTCCCTGGAGTGAGCCAAGATCCCCCAGCCCCCACCCTGCACTCCCCTACCACTGCAGTGCTTGCCTGCTGGGGAGGCACCTCCCAGATCTGCAGGAACAATGGGATGGGGAGGGGGCAGGTGCTGCTGGGAAGAGCGGCAGCGGGTGCAGAGGGTCGGGCTGTGGCCACTGTCACCAGAACAAGGAACCACCAGTGCCGGCCTCACTTTCCTGGCTTTGGGGTCCCTGTGGAGCACAGAGCTTTTTCTGATCAGATTTCCCTTATGTCCGGGTATTTTAATTTCATCCTTGCAAAGCAGCTTGCTTGGAGCTCCTGGGAAACTGACTAAGGCAAATGCTCCCGCCAAGGCCCTGCAGGTCAGGGACACAAGGTGCCTCTTGCAACCAACTTTCCCCATTTGAGATGCACAAGGAAGACTGGAATCCTGGCCAGCCCATCCCTGATGAGGAGGAAGCCTTGATTTACAGCTCTGGCTCAAAGAGCAGTTCCTCCTCTTCCCCCGGGCCCCTTCCCTGGTCCTCTCCCTCCTTCTCTATCTGAGCCCTAATCATAAATGCTCTGCCAAGACAGTGGCTCTGTCACATATGGGAAAAGCGAGTCTCAATCTTCCGCAAGCCCCCTACACACACCTCTGGCAAGAAGCGGACAGTCAGCCGAGCCTCGGCAGTTTCTCCCTCCTAAACCCAGAGAATCCTAGAGAATGGGAGGGCAGTGGGTTACCCTTTGGTCCGCACCTGCTGCCTCAACTCCCATCTCCTGGGTCCGGCCCGGACAGGGTGGGGGAACAGGACAGACTCAAATCTGA